CTGGCTGACTTCTACACGGTGAACGGGCTGGTGCTCGAGTCACGGAAACGGCGGGAACACCTTAGTGAGGAGGACATCTTGAGGAACAAAGCCATCATGGAGAGCTTGAGTAAAGGAGGCAGCCTCAGCGAACAAAACTTTGAGGTGAGAGGAAAAAGAATGTCCTAACTTGATCTACCACTGGTGAAAGGTAATGGTGCCCTGATGACTGATTCTTGTCCTGCCCCCAGCCGGTGAGACGGCTGTCCCTCACAGCTCCCACTCCCAACACACTGTCCTGGGAAGAGTACATCACTTCAGAGCAGGGGAAGTAAGTACTGTAGCTCATATTTTCTATGAATTCATTGTAATGCCACAGGGCAGGGGGCATTTTCTTCCCGGTAATAAACTTGTGAAGTGATACGGGCAAGGCAAGGCAAGGCAAGTTTATTTATATAGCACTTTTCAACACAAGGCAATTCAAAGTGCTTTACAAAAAATGAAAGAGATTAAGAAAATGGCATTTAAAATCAGTCATTAAAAAGAAAAGCTAATAAATTAAACATTAAAAGAAAAAAGTACATGGATAAAAGTTACAGTGCAGTCTAAGATATGAATAGTTCACTACACCAATTTACAAGAAAATATTTTTGTAGATGAAAGCCAATATCTGCTCTTTAAAGGTCACCTATTATGCAAAATCCACTTGTTCATGTCTTTCACACATCAACATGTGTCCCCTCTGTGAAAAGAGATCATGAAAGTTTCAGGAAAAAAGATTCTCTCTCTTTTGGTCCTGATCCATTTCTATAAAAACCTGTCTGAAAATGAGCGGATCAGATTTTGGCCACTTTATGATGTCATAACGATGTTTTGGCTTGTGTAACCATTAGCCAATCACCAACCAAGGTAACCCCCCCCCCCCACCTTATCACCTGAATCTCCTCCTAGAGCACACTTCAGAGACATGTTTGTATATATCTGAGACCTATAATATATTGATGAAAAACAGCATGATAGGGGACCTTTAAATCCAAAATATATTAACCAAATGCACATTTAGCTATTTGCTCTGTCACCAAATCCTCCCCCTTCGTCATGTTGGTCAACTCTCCTCACTCTGGTCACATGACGGGTGAATTTTGACTCTCTACTTTCTGCTGCAATGTAACCAGGGCAGTTAGAAGACAGTCTTTTCACATGCTGAGTATTAATATGAAATCAAAGCAATGCATTTCTGGGTTTCTTCGTATCTTCAGGCCCCCTCATCTTGGGAGAGAGCTGGTGTGTAAGGAGAGCAAGAAGAACTTCAAAGCTTCTGTAGCCATGAGCCAGGATTTCCCTCTAGGCATCGAGTCGTAAGTACATCCCTTCCTCCTCAGATCTCTTTACAAAGCTCTCTGCGCAGATTGATCTTACTCTTGGGATGCTCTGGGGATTTGAGAAAAGCGTAATGTAGAGAAGCAATAGTTAAGATCAGATAATTGGGCCAGGTAAAGCTCTTTGTTTGTGAGCCTCTGATGAGTCAACTGCTCCACCATGTGACAACAGACCTTCAGTGCTTTGGATTATTTATTTATTTATATCAACTAAGCCATTGTTTTGGCTGTGCTCGGTCTGTTTGAAGTAATATACTCAGAATATATTTAAGTATTTAAAACGGCCACTTAAACTGACAGTGACACTGATTTACAATAACTTTTTCTTTCCTTAAAACGGTATCTGCTGCTGTCGTCCAGTTACACAACTGTTTTCTGTTTTATGTGATGATATGATTGGTTTTAGTGTAAATTGCAGCTCTTCTTTGAGCTTTAGTTACAATGCTTTGCCTTGAAAATAAAGTGTTTCTTGCTTGCTCCTTTTAGTGATTGTTTTATGAGGAAACATACATTAACTAAGTGTTTTTAAATCTACCTTTGAGTTTTCACGGGCGGAGATAGTGCAAGTTCATAGTGAGAACTCCTGATCATGTAAGCAAGAGTTCCAAGTTGATGGAGAACAAATTGGATCTGAGAAAAGGGGATTTTCTAGAGGATGCAGGATGTTACACGGAGTGGATCAGGACGCAGGATTCACACAGGATGTGGTTTTGTGTTTTCCTGTAAAGGGTTACAGGCAGTGCTGTAAAATATTACTGGGACATCACGTAGTAAATTGCTTTATCTCCTCTGCTGAATAAACCCTAATGGAGCTTGCAATAAAACCCAACCCTTTACAATAGCTAATGGTTTTTTAATGTGATTTGTTTTCTTCTCATAAGCATTCTGTGCTTTGTAATGTTACAAATATGTTGTACTCCCTTCTCTTAAAATGTTCCGTTTAATGTCATTAATCACCAAAACAGACCATTGCTATGATGGCAGAGAAATTACAATTTTTGTTTTGTAGCGGATTACATTTTTTATTTATAGTGTTCAAATGATGCATTTTACAGACTGTAGCCTCTAGCTTTTCAGTCTGAGCCCCGCTAGTTTTCTTTCTAACCATTTCTTTAGAGAATAGTTTACAACTGAGATGTAGAGTCAGTGTAATTGAATACATGTTGTGATTGAAAGCCTCTGTCAAAGCTGACATATCAGGATACAAGTTATTATACCAGTAGTTTCCAACCTGGGGAACACAAGATACATCTGAGGGATAGCTGAATTATTGACTTGGCAATACACCTTACTAAGAGGGAAACCGTTTCAAGAAGTTTCAAGAGCATGTTAGCTTTTTTATTGTTAGCATGTAGAGGTTAGCATTTAGCTCAAAGCCTCGCTGTGCCAAAGAGCAGACACACAGAGCCACCAGCTTGGCAGGAGACATTTCATCTGGTTTAACTGTGTCTCTAAGGTTATTTCTTTGTTATTGTAAAACAAAAATCAAATAAAACATAACTGTTTGCGCCATTGTTTCTCCCTAAATGGGGAGGCGTGTGGCGCAGTGGAATAGTGCGTTGGTGTTCGGATCAGGGGAGCAGAGGTTCAAACCCCACTGCAGTCAGCATGTCGTTTCACACACTTCACCCAAAATTGCTCCTGACCTGTGGACATTACCCACAGTATTGAGTCGCTTTGGATAAAAGCGTCTAACATGTAATGTAAATGGTCACAATTCAAGATACTGTTATATCAAACTCACTTTCCTCTTCCTCTAGGTTATTAAACGTGTTGGAGGTCATCGCCCCGTTCAAGCACTTCAACAAACTCCGGGAGTTCGTTCAGATGAAACTTCCTCCTGGGTTTCCAGTTAAACTCGGTGAGCGTTCAGACATACCGCTGCTCTCCTGTGAGAGGGCGAGCTTGTCCAAAAACACAGAATAATGTTTCCTTCTTGTGTTTTCCCCCTCGCAGACATCCCCGTCTTCCCCACCATCACAGCAACCGTCACCTTTCAGGAATTCCGCTATGACAAATTTGAAGCCTCTACTTTCGTCATCCCGTCTGAATACAAAGAAGATCCCAGTCGCTTCCCCGACCTCTGACCTGTCAACACGTCTGACACAAACAGGAAATGACCAGCGGGCTAATATGTGCGAGGCCAAAAAAGAGGGAATCCTGTTGTGTTTTACTCTTATATATTGTATCCGTTTAAAAAAAAAAAAAAAAGGGAACTGGTGTTATTGATCAGTTATTGTTCTTTTTTGCTGATGGATCCAAAGTGAATTGATGCAAACGGATGTAACCCGATCTTACAAATAGATGCTTATTGGCAGTTTTTTTTTGTGTGAAATGAGTGATAGCTTTCGTTGTATTAGCTGTTCACCACCTGAGCACCTCAATGCGCTGCTCCATGCTGCTGTAACTTCCTGTGAAACTGTCAAAGACACAGTCTGGACTCCTCACCACCACTGTTTTACTCTTATAAGACTTATTACTGAAATGTCATTCTTTCAAAACTGCGCTGACATTGTAAATAATTCACTTCTCATCTGTAATTCATAAGATCACAGATATAGCTATATCCTCAAACTGAGCTTAATATTCATTTATAAATGATGTACTATGTATAAACTCAAAAGTAACACTGTGTAGCAATATATTTCCAGTACGTACGAATGTTTTTAACCATCTGGGGGAAGGTTTAGCATAACAACACATTAAGTTTCGATATCCATTCATTTTCCCCTGTGCAGGAAGCAAGGTCCTGTGCGTTCAGGTTGGCTCATGTTACCTCTCGGCTGTCTCCATGTTTGTCGTGAAAGAAATCTGTGCTCGGTGTGAGTGAATAATTGTTCTGTAGCAACGGTTGTTGTGTGTCTATTTGTGTGTGGGAGATGGGATATCAGGTAAACTGTTCTTAGTTTAATACTGCACTGATATTAAGTATATTTAAGGCATGCAATGACTGTGTTGGCCTACTGGATCACATGCATCTTTAAGCTATATTCTCAGAGCGATTTATTGGTACCAAGATTAAGGAAAACTTGTAACACTTTGTAACAACTTAAGTTCTTACAAAACTGCTCATTGATGGTAGCGTTCATTTATTTCTCCTTTTTAATCCAATGAGATTAAACTAAACTGTGAAGTTGATATTGCTGGTGAAACCTGAACATGTCCAGATGGGAAATAATATGATCCATTCAGTTGTTTCTGGCTTCAGCTTATATGTACTGCAACCATACCTACTTCACGTCCCTTTAAATAAAGCACCAGCATCACGTTTTCGACTTTGTGCAAGTACAATAAAAATACAGTATTTCATGAAATATTGATCCACCGTCACATATTTGACTACACTTTATGACTTTTTAAGCATATATTGGGAGAGCTGGTGAAATTGAGGTACTTTTACTCGATTATTTTGAGCTAAATCTGTTTGGTTCAGGGTAGCAGCTAATCTATTTTTTCATTTGTCTGGCAATCAATCCCAAGTGAATAATGCTTACAGTCAGTAAATCACAAATATAGGATAATTGGAAGCTGGAAATTGTAAATGTTTTAATCATAAAGTAAAATAGTTGCCTTTTTTTTTTTTTTTTTTTTTTAAATAGTATTTTAACGTGTCGGCTCTTCGTACTTATAAACAAAGTCTCGTTTTTTTTCCAAATAGGCTTTATTATAAAAGAAATCCTTGATAAAACAATCGACACTTTCAAATAAGAAACAAACGTATTAACTGTTTCGAGAAGTTGAGGGAAGAGGCCTGAACAACACACCACAACACAAAAATAATGTAAAAGATACAATATGTGTAAAAAGGTGACACAAGCTCGAGAAAAGCAAAGCAAACCTACTTCCAGTTTTAACAGACTATGATTTTTCCGGAGGTAAAAGCATGAGGGTACTTTAAAGCTATGGGACATATGGCCAACTCTGCAAAATGTCAATACAGCGACTCTTCTGTGCGAAAAATCATTACATTTGACGCTCACTTCACATTTTAGATCGACCCCAGTGGGGAATAAAGTCGTAACATGTTTACAACCAAAACAGAAAGGAGGGACAAAGATAGACGACCTAATCACTGACATCCATGTCCTCTTCGTGGTGATCGTCAGCTCCGTTTACTTTGGCCTGCCGCGCGGTGCCGTTACCTTCGACAGACTGAGGAGACAAAGCAGAGTCGTCAGAATCTTTCCTGTCCGCTCGCTCCTTCCCGCTGTCATAGCCTTGTTCTTCCTCATCATAATCCCTGGTGATCTGTGAAAGGAAGCCAATGGATGCAACATTTTAAAGCATAGACAGCCCCGGGTTTACACCAGAACAACAAAGCTCGTGGCGAGGTAAAGGCACCGTGCTGACCTTGACATCTCCTTTCTCTCCGTCAGATTTCCTCTCCCGATCTCGCTCTTTGTCTTTGCTCTTCTTCTTCTTGCTGGTGGAGCGTTCACGTTCCTCTCGATTGCGCTCTTTATCAATCTTGCGCTCCCTTTCCTTCTCCTTTTTCTTTTCCTTCTTGTGTCTGTGGAGGGAGGAGAGGAAACGTCAGGTGTGTCATAATATGAGTTGGATCTAAGTACAGTTGGTTTGAATCCAATACATCATTACACATTGTTGACTTTTAGTTCTCGTTTGGTTAAAATAAAGTACTTCCTGGTATGAAGCACAAATATTTCACATCAAAATACCAACCGTCGAGGAGATGGAGTCTTTTTTTTAGGAGGAGATCGGCTCTTGCTGCGACTTTTCCTGCGTCTCCTGTGTAGCAGAACAGGAAAAACATGTATTACTTGGAGACTGAGATCCCATGCCACAGAATGAACGTTTATTTAAAAAAACATGGTTTCGGCACCCAAGATCCACTCACCGTTCCTCGCTGCGTGACCTCCTGGTTGTGCTGTAGCTTTTAGGCGGTGTTTTGGATCGTCTTTTCCCTGAATCGTCTTTCTTTCTATCCCTGTAGATACCGTTTACGTTACAAATACAATTTCACATCAGGCTTGAGTTCATCTTCAAACCATATGTAACGGAGGTGATCTCTGGGGCCATAGATCTCGGCCTCCGTTACGGATTCTGTAGCTTCATTGGGGGCAAAGTGTATGTAGTTTGTGCATCTGTCTGTGTTTTAGTTTGTCTGTCTCTGTTTCCTGGTTTTATGTTGAAAAGTGTTCCCCTATCCCCATGTCTGTTGCTGATTGTGTGCACCTGGTGCCCTGTGTTGTCTCCTCCCCCCTCACCTGTGTCCTGTTGGTTTGATTAGTGTGGGTGTGTATTTCGGCTCTGTTGCCCTGTCTGTTTGGAGGCTGGTAGTGTGGAGGCTGGTGACTGTGTGCTAGGGCTGCACGGTATTGAAAAAAACTGACATCGCGATTTTCCCCCCCCCCTGCGGTATATATTGCGTTTTTTTTAACCTGTTAAACCCCAAAGTCCCGGCGGGTACTTTACTTTTTTTTTCACGACACTGTCTCAGGGGATTGTAATATTTAAGAACCTATTAATGTGTTATACCAGATTAACGGAAATAATCTCAGCTAATTGACGATACAAACCATTTTTACCAAAACAAAACACAAGTCTCATAACGCACTTTGGCACAGAACTCAAGATAAAAGTACCCTTATTATTACTTATCGTAGCTGCACTTACAAGATATCCGATTAAAGCTGAGGTTCCACAGATTATTTAGGTATATAGTATCATCATTGAGTGATCTGAACTCGGACAGGGGAAGCAAACACAGACATCACAACACGTACCTTTACGTAGCTTCTAGGGGAGATGTCTCACCGTAGCTGTCAATCTGATCAAAAGACGTGTTCAATGGCATTAAAACGAGAAAGAAAAACGCGGCTGAATCGGTTAATCCATAAGTTTTTAAGGTCTCTGTATAAAAAAATGATTTAATTTATAATCCATAATTCCATTTTCTCCGGTATTGTCCTCCTGTGCCTCGCTCATTTTTTACCAGTGTTTTGATGGTCTGCAAACTAGCGGGGCGGGACCTGCTGTGATCTGATCAAGAATGATTGTGATTGGTGGTTTGCTGTGCATGCAGGGGAAGTTCTACACACACCAACACGTGAACAAATAAGGAGTGAGAGTGACGCGTAGCCAAAACCGAAAGCTGCATACACTCTGGTGGCTACCATTAGCAGCTAACTTTTGTGCTCCGATTTTTACATAAAAATGGAATTATGGATTATAAACAATTGCTTCAAAGCCACAGATACATTATCAACCTATGGATCAACCGATTCAGCCGCGTTTTTTCTTTCTCGTGTTAATGCCATTGAACACGTCTTTTGATCAGATTGACAGCTACGGTGAGACGATCTCCCGTAAAAGGTACATGTTGTGATGTCTGTGTTTGCTTCCCCTGTTGCGAGATCGGATCGCTTAGATAATATACTTAAATAATCTGTGGAGTCTCAGCTTTAATCGGATATATTGTATGTGCAGTTTCGATAAGTAATAAGGGTATCTTTATTTTGAATTCTGTGCGCTAGCATTTTTTTCTTTTTTTTAAATGAATAAAACCGCACGTCCCTGCGGTGTGAGTACCGCGCATTCCCATACCGCGGTTATCGCCATGACACGGTATATCGTTCAGCCCTACTGTGCGCACAGGAGCAGCAGATTGAGGCTGTGTCATATCATATGTGTATGAGTTAATAAATGCCCACACCGGGTTGTATTTTTGGACGTTCTGCCTCTGCCTCCTTGGTTGGTCGGGCCGCTCAATTGTCAGCTTCACAATACCATAATATGTATAGCGGTAAACCCACCGTGATCTGCTCGGAGATCGCTTGCTTTGGTCTCTGGAGTCGGTGTGTCTCCTGCGGGGGCTTTTGGAGCGCTTCCTGCTTCTGGAGTTGGACCGCCGCCGCTGTGATTTGCTCCTGGTTCTCCTGCAACCATACAGTTAGATCAATTCACTGTATTGTGAAACTATAGGTTACTTACGTAACCCCAGTTCTCAGAGTAACATGAAGTGAGATGTCTCACTATGGGATGCGCCTCATCGTGGAGCAAACAGAAGCATCAATCTCATTACGCCAATCCTGATTGGCTGGTGATCTTGACGTCAACGTCAGGGAATCACCCCCTATAAGTAGCTTGCGCCACGACGCATGCGTCATTCAAAATAAGCACCTCTTCTCGCTTCACCATAGCAAGAAGGGCCGTCTGGTGAGACATCTCACTTCATGTTACTCTGAGAACTGGGGTTACGTAAGTAACCTATAGTTCTCATTCATAACACTCCGTTCGATGTCTCACTATGGGAAATTGTAGCTCCCGTATTGCCAGACGAGCTTATCTCGAAAATCACCAACCAACCAGAACTTAACAGGTAGAGTCCCGACACAACAAGGTGCCTAGCACTGCTCGGGCCACGCTTGGAGCGGAGACGTCCTAGCCTGTAAAAGCGGACAAAAGTGATGCACAGATGTCTTGGATGGAAACACCCTTGAACAAAGCCCAGGAGGTAGCCAGGCCCCGAGTCGAGTGAGCCCGCAGACCCGAAGGTGCTTGCAAACTCTGACTCGTATAGGCCAAAGCAATTGCCTCCACAATCCAGTGGAAGAGCCGTTGCTTAGCCCTTTGTGAGGGTTAGCCCAGGACACAAAGAGTTGGTCATTAAGACGAAGCTCCTTTGATCTGTCCATATATGTGCGTAAAGCACGGACTGGACACAACAGATCCTGCTGCTGTTCCCCGGAGGAAACCAGCAGCGGAGGAAATGCCTCAATGTCGATTGGGGTACACGAACCAACCACCTTTGGTGTAAAGGCAGGGTTGGGCTTCAACAACACTCTCGTTTGCCCTGGGGCGAACTGAGTGCATGAAGGATGTACAGACAGCGCATGAATATCACTGACCCGCTTGGCGGATGCCAGGGCCAGTAACAGCACTGTCTTGAGTGAAAGATGTTTCATGTCAGCTCCTTCCAGGGGTTCAAATGGGGTCATTCTGAGCCCATTTAAAACCACTGCCAAGTCCCATAAGGGCACCAGTGACCTGGAGACAGGGAGGAGCCTGCGAGCTCCCTTCATAAAACGGCAGACCAAAGGATGTTGGCTAGCCGTCTTACCCTCAAAGCCCACATGGCATGCAGCAATAGCAGCCAGGTACACCTTGATCGTGGAGAAAGCTCTGTGTTTATCGATCAAGTCCTGTAGAAATGATAACATCACCCCGACAGGACATTGAAAGGAGATGTGTCCTTCTTGAAGGCACCACTCCTCAAACACCATCCACTTACAGTCATAAAGAGACCTGGTGGAGGAAGCTCTCGCACTCTGAATAGTGTTTATCACCTTCTGAGGGAGTCCCACTGTATTCAGATTGTACCACTCACGGGTCAGGCCCATAGTGCCCCGCGCTCTGGGCGTGGGTGAAGGATCGCCCCCCCCCCCCCCGCCTGAGACAATCTGTCCCTGCGTAGAGGGGGCTGCCATGGCTGCCCGCACAACAGCTGATATATCTCCGCCAGCCCGTACGTTGCGGGCTAGGGCGGAGCCATCAGGATAAGTGTGTGGCGTTGCTCCTTCACTCTGGCCAGAGTTGGGGGTATCAGAGCCAGGGGTGGGAACGCGTACAGAAGACCCGGATCAATCGTGTACGAGTGCGTCCACGCCTAACGGTGCGTTTAAATCGTGCATTAAAGGGAACAGCTGTCATTGAGCCTTTTCTCTTTATGCGAACAGATTTAACGCGGCTCTGCCGTAACGCACCCACAGCGGACTCACGATCCTTGGATGTGGAGTCCAGTCTGCATAGAGTGGTGCACCTCTGGACAGTAGTTCTGTCCCGAGGTACATCACTCCTGGTACATGCGTCGCTCTCAGAGAGAGGAGACGTCTGCCGCTCCAAGGGATCAGTTTGTGTGCCAGTGTGTGTGACTGGAGACAACGCAACCTCCCTTGGCGGTTCATACACGATACTGTGGTCGTGTTGTCTGTCCTCACAAGGACATGGTGTCCTCTGAGAGAAGGCAGAAAGCGTTTTAGGGTGGGGAACACCGCTAAAAGCTCCGGGTGATTTACGTGCGCCTGCTGGAGGTCCCTGCTCCAGAGACCCCTCACCGGGCGACCTTCGTAAATACCCTATCAGCCTGTCAGACATGCGTCCGTGGTGACCACCTTTCGTGAAAGGACAGCACCCGTACTAGAAAAGTCGGGTGCGGCCAGTGGCGTAGTGCCACTACGCATTTCATAATAACCAATACTCTCCGCACGCCGTGACCCGCGGGTTTAGTTTTATTATGAGACCCATGTTGAGCAGGTGCTTTACGAGGACATTTGTCTGCGTAATCTGACTCTGCTCGGCGGGCATTATAGATAAAACCCTCCTTTCTAGGAATAGAATATAGGTTGACTCTCCCAGGGCTTGTGAATACAGATAGCCCGAGAAGCGAGGGGGGGTGACGGTGACTTGGAGTCTGTAGCTCCGTGTAACTGTCTTGAGAAACCCAAGCAGATGTCGTGAGCATCTCCCGCTGTATGCTCCTTAGAGCCAGCTGAGATGTCACGTCTCTTCCCCTCTGAGTCTCTATTTGTTGTGTTATGGGGCCCTCCAGTGTCTGAGCACTGTGGTGCCCCATTTCGACAATCCCCACCGGCACTGCGCATGCGCGTGACGGTGGTGCCTTCACAACCCCAGCCGGCACTGCGCATGTGCGTGACGGTGGTGCCTTCACAACCCCAGCCGGCACTGCGCATGCGCGTGACGGTGGTGCCTTCACAACCCCAGCCGGCACTGCGCATGCGCGTGACGGTGGTTGCCTTCACAGCTCCAGCCGGCACTGCGCATCCGCGTGACGGTGGTGCCTTTACGACCCCAGCCGGCACTGCGCATGCGCGTGACGGTGGTGCCTTCACGACCCCCGCCAGCACTGCGCATGCGCGTGACGGTGGTGCCTTTACAGCCCCAGCCGGCACTGCGCATGCGCGTGACGGTGGTGCCTTTACAGCCCCAGCCGGCACTGCGCATGCGCGTGACGGTGGTGCCTTTACAGCCCCAGCCGGCACTGCGCATGCGCGTGACGGTGGTGCCTTTACAGCCCCAGCCGGCACTGCGCATGCGCATGACGGTGGTGCCTTCACAGACCCGTCAATTGTCCGCCCTTTGAGAGGCCGTAGCTGCTCTCAGAAGGGGAACAGTTGACGGACTGTTTATTGTTTTTATTGTTTTTTTTTCATTTTTTCGAGCTGCGCCCTTGGCTCGAAGCCTGGATGCGTCAGTGGAAAATGTTTTATGACAGAAAAATCAATAAGTGTGTGACATGTGTTTATGCGGACTTGAGGATGGTGTTGAGGCATCTCTCGAGGCGGCGGGAACACATTTAGAGCTGGGGAACCGTAGATTTCCAGCTCTGTCACAGAGGGGAGAAGGAGGGGCTGTCACGCCGCTCGCTTCTTCTTCCTCGACTGCTGGCCGAAATTCTGGGTTGGCTGCAGCCGGAACCGGAGATTTTCTAGGCCAGCTCGCCCTCGTCCCCTGCCTGGGCTGGGGACTCGGGCGGACTGCGACCTCTGCGTTTTCGGTATTTTGAACCGAGCAGGGTTCGGGGCAGCTTGGACGAAGGGCTGCCGCTGCGAAGGCAGCGGCTGGGCCCTTCGAGGGAGGCAGAGGTGGAGGGCCTCGTCCTCCTTTTTTGACTCGCATCTCCTCTGCATGGAGGCAAGAGCGGAGCCGAAAATCCCCTCGGGAACGATGGGCATGTCAAGCACATCCTCCTTTTCCCGGTCTGGGAGGTTGGTGAGGTTGAGCCATCTAGCTCTTTCCTGCACCACCATGATCCCCATTGTTTCGCCCGTGGCCTGGACGGCGCAGCGTTGGACACGGAGACAAATGTATGTGACCGCGGCCAACTCGTCCAGAACGGCCGGTCCAGGATTACTCGACATATCCTCACAGAGCTCCGCTTGGTATGCAGTTAGCAGTGAGGAAACGTTCAGAGCCCTGGCGGACAATGCTGCGGCTCTGTAGGACCGTTCAGTCATGGTCGACTGGAAACGGTCCACCTTCGCTGGCAGCGTGGGGTTCCTGCTTGGTGACGGGCCCATCCTCGGTAGGAGGTGGGCTGTCACCAGCAGTTCCATCGGCGGTATGCGGAGCAGGCCGAGCCTCTCCATATCGTCGCAGTCTAGGGAGGAGGCACCCTGGATTGGGGCCTTGTTGCTAAAGGGTCGGTCCCTCCACGAGACCGACACCTCATCCAACATCTCCGGGAAGACCGGAGGAGTTGCCTCCTTGTCCTCGTTGCTTGGGGAGAATGTTTCCCCTCGTAACGGGACCTGGCGGTCTCCTTGGCCATTTCGGGCCACGGGATGTCTAGCCTGGACGCAGCGCGCTGACACGCGGCCTGCAGGTCCATGCTTAGACAGGGCGAAGCTGGTGTGCTATCGCCCGGGAGAGCAGCCATCGCTCCCGGCTTTGCCGTTTGAGCCGATGACATGAAGATATTTTCTTCTTGCTCATCCGAATCAGACAGGAGGGACTCAGAGGTGTCCTCTTCGTCCTCCATGTAGTCTAATTCCAGGACATCCTCCGCGGGCGAGACCATGGTGAGGTCTCGCCGGGAGCTCCCGCCTGGTGAGGCGTGGGGCTCCGTTCCCGCGTCTCTTGCCGCCACCGGGTCCCGGCCTGACACGGCGTGGGATCCCGGTTCCGCAGCTGCCGCTGTTAGTGAGCCTCAGACCGACACAGTGAGGGGCTCAGTCTCTGCGGCGGACGCCCCCGTGTCTTGATTGCCAAACGGCGAATCAGTGGACATGAGGGAGTCCTGTTCCAACAAGCTAGCTTGGTGTGCTAGCCGTCAGTGGAGGCTCTTTCGGAAGAAACGGGCACAATGCCCGCACGAGCCGGGGTTGTCGATAGCCTCCTGGGCGTGTTCCAGCCCGAGGCAGAACGAGCAGACCTGGTGTAAGTCTGTGCCTGCTATCTTCAACCCGCAGCCGCATGACCGAGCCTCCGAGTCCCTGACTCCTCTGGTGTGAGGCGTCCATCTTGTTCGCCCTGTGGCGTGGAGAGGACCCGCTCGTAACAGGTACGTCGTTGAGAGAAAAGTGTTACCAACCCGTCCTTAATCCGGAGAAAAAGGGACGGTGTGGGTCCTTTGTTCTCAAAGAATATTGACTGGTGTGTCAATATACTTCTAATCCTTTTCTCCTCCGTGAGAGAGAAAAGAAAAGCGTCCTCGCTACCGTGGTGTCGGTAGTAAGGGGAAGCTAGCTAGCAACAGGTGCGTAGCTAGCTTGAGAAAAATCAAAACCTTACCTTACTTTCCGGGGAAAGAAACGGCGAGGTCGATTTTAATACTAACTGGCGTTAGTATTACCGTCTTCTTGCGAAGCAGAAGGAGTAGCCGGCGAGCGCCCGTCGACCGAAATGTTTTGGATTTGGGTTCAGTCTGTGGACTGTTAAGCTTGTCCGGCTACTGTAGAGATGTGCTCTGAAGCGAGAAGAGGTGTTTGAATTACGCATGTGTCGTGGCGCAAGCTACTTATAGGGGGTGATTCCCTGATGTTGACGTCAAGATCACCAGCCAATCAGGATTGGCGTAATGAGATTGGTGCTTCCGTTTGCTCCGCGATGAGGCGCATCCCATAGTGAGACATCGAACGGAGTGTTATGAATGAGAACTACAAAAGATAAGTCATAGTAGTATCACACACACCTGTGTTTTGAACGTGATCTGGATCTCCTCCTCCTGGACCTGGATCTAGAGCGAGAGCGCTTCTTTTTGCTCTCTTTATCTGCAGGAGAGAAGGAAAACTAAATTCATTAGTAATGTAAAAATAAAATTCACAAGGACTTTTTTGAAAATGGTAAAAAACAAGGAATATCATGACACGAACACTGCATTGCACACAAAACTATTATTATTGACTGTAGTTCCAGTAATCCAAAATTAAGCTTGACTCGGACAAGGTACGTCTCAGGATAGTTTGTTTGACTCTTTACTTAAACAAAAGGTATCAAATACAAACTCATATTTTCTCAGGTCAAAAACTATGTTGCTCTTTGCTTCCTTCTCACACACACACACACACAATCACCAGCAGCTGCCGTCGGCTATAACGTCTCTTAATCACAAAAAGCTGCGGTCGTCTATGCCGTCAATTTCACACGGCTGGTTCAAATAAATCATGATATAATAGCACTAACAACAAAGGATTATAATATATCAAACTATACATTTGAACATATGGCTCCTACATTGACTGTAAAGCTAAACGTCTGTGCACTCACTTCCTGGTTCAATAGCAGCAGAAATGAGCGACTGGGCCTCTCTCACTCTCTTCATGGCTTCCTCCATCTCTTTATTAGACGCGTCCGCCTTCAGGCTCGCACTCAGGTTTAAGCCTGCAGCCAAAGGATTCAGTCTGAAGGGAAAATATGAATTAGTTGACTTGTCATTACTACCAACATGTCTAATTCTTTCATTCGTGATTGAAAACTGCCTTTAGCCACCATTTCCAGAAGACACATTTGTTATGACTTACTTTGGATCGGTCATGAACTTTAGCAGCTGATCAGCGGCCTAAAGAAGACAACAGGAAGAAGGGTTGGACTATGACAGATACTTCATATTTAACTTCAAGTCAATGTCATTCAACAAAGCCGCTCACCTGTGGGTTCATATTGTGTCCTGGGAATCCAAATGCAGCCATCGCATCCATGTTCGGAACACCGAAAGGGTTTCCTCCCATCTGGATTAAACAAATACAAGCATATTCAGTAACTTCTGCTATGGCAGCCTGTTGTTTAGATATTGACATCGTACAAGTGTCCGTCACACAAAAGAGATCTCCCACGAATAACAATTATCAAAACGGCAACTCCTTTCAAATGTTGAACCTTTTAACTAAATACTGAAGAACTTAATAATCTGTCTGCTGATGAAGAACATGTAATATCCTCTGTAGCCTGTTACCAAACAGACTTTGAGGTGAGATTGTTTATATATAAAAAAATACAGAAATATAAAATACAATAACTTGAATAGGTCCCCTGTTATGCTCTTTTTCAATACCAAACAATGCCATAAACCCTTCTGTCTCAAAAGTACTAACTGTGTCTGTAGCTTTAAATACAAAATAAGCTGCCACTCCCCACGCCCCTCTGAGAGATGTTTAGTTTAAAAAAGGAGGAGATGCAGGTGTTAACGGGGGTGGGTGTTACTTTGGTTGGTTATTGGCTAGTGGTAGCACAACCCAAAGAACAATGGTGAATCACAAAGTGGCCAAAAATGTGATCAGCTAATTTTATATTAATTGTTCAGGACAAAAAGAGACACTATCTTTTTTCCTGAAACTTTCCCAATCTCTTAACACACAAGAGGACATATATACACTGAACAAAAATATAAACGCAACACTTTTGTTTTTGCTCCCATTTTTCATGAGATGAACTCAAAGATCTAAAACATTTTCTATATACACAAAATAACCATTTCTCTCAAATATTGTTCACAAATCTGAAAAAATCTGTGATAGTGAGCACTTCTCCTTTGCCGAGATAATCCATCCCACCTCACAGGTGTGGCATATCAAGATGCTGATTAGACAGCATGATTATTGCACAGGTGTGCCTTAGGCTGGCCACAATAAAAGGCCACTCTGAAACGTGCAGTTTTGCTTTATTGGGGGGGGTCTGGGGGGGTCCGAAAACCAGTCAGTATCTGGTGTGAGGGGTAGGATTAGGGTTGGGGGTAGGGTTAGGGTAATGTTGTGAATCGAGTGGCCCATGGTGGTGGTGGGGTTATGGTATGGGCAGGCGTATATTATGGACGACGAACACAGGCCACTCGATTCACAACATTACCCTAACCCTACCCCTCACACGAGATACTGACTGGTTTTCGGACCCCCCCAGACCACCCCAATAAAGCAAAACTGCACGTTTCAGAGTGGCCTTTTATTGTGGCCAGCCTAAGGCACACCTATGCAATAATCATGCTGTCTAATCAGCATCTTGATATGCCACACATGTGAGGTGGGAAGGATTATCTCAGCAAAGGAGAAGTGCTCACTATCACAGATTTTTTCAGATTTGTGAAAAATATTTGAGAGAAATGGTTATCTTGTGTATATAGAAAATGTTTTAGATCTTTGAGTTCATCTCATGAAAAATGGGAGCAAAAACAAAAGTGTTGCGTTTATATTTTTGTTCAGTGTATATATTTATATATATTTATGTATAAAAGACATGAAAGAGTGGATTTTGCATAACAGGTGACCTTGAAGTGAGGACACACAGTAGATTATCTAGAGTCTTACAGCTGGATTGGACATGGGATTGGGCAGCGGGAGAAGTCCTCCTCCTGGCAGGATTCCTGCAATAGCGTTTGCTGGCGCCAACAGAGACAAAGCTTTAGCCTCATCTGGAATAGATCCTACAGGAAGATAAAAACAGGCATTAGTAGAGAACGACATATTCACACACACATCAACTACAGAGAAGACACTTTGGAAAAGACAAACAGAAAAAGTCTTCACACTGCAATTGCTCAAATAAGGTTCAACAACATGGTTACCTTACAGATCAGAGAAGAGTTCCCTATATTCAACATAATCATTGAAGTGACATAACTATTGCTGGAATATATCACACTACTCCAATGAACACTGCCAAGAATATATCACCTGAACGTGTTTTTTAAGTCATGAACCAAAGGTTAGCAAGCACAGCTGCTTCTCCAGTTGGGTGAGCCCTCAATTTTCATTGAGACGTTTACTGAAACAAGCGACTCACGCTGGCGGCTTCGCTACTAAAAGCACACAGAGAAAAATCGAGATACACACAGAGAGAATTTTAGGGATTTGGCAAGAACACTATACAAACTATCAGTGTTTACTTACCAAAAACACAAATGTCACAGCATATATTAGTATGACCTAAATGACAATAGCAGATATCGTGTGGCTAGCGTGTCTGCTGCAAATCATTCATCTAGTATCCTTACCTGCCACTGCATCAATCAACCAATAAGATCACAGCATGACTGGTTTGATTTATGTGTGCTAACACAGCCCAATTAAAAGTAATTTGATCATCTTTATTTGTAAAATGCCACGGATTGTATTTTTTAAATGGCCAAAATCAATACCTCATTGTCATCTCACAGTAAATCCACACCCAAAAATAGTATTTTGACAAAAACACATGACCTAAATACAGACACACAACAATGACAACATGTAAAAAAAGAGCACACTGAAGAGAGAAATTGCTGCAGGAGACAAAACTCGGATGGTATTTTCAGCAGGGCCTGGTATACAGGACTGGCTGAGCCAGGAAAAAGAACTGTAAAACACAACAACAAAAGAAGACCACTGTTAAAGAGAATATTTACCAACATAATGTCATGTCGGCTCGGCAACTTAGACAAATGATGACGAGATGAAGTATGACTATTATATAAGATAACCAATCATTGACTTGTGTTACTGCGAACATATTGGTAGGTGTGTGCAGAGCCAGCTGCCTGGGTAATGTGGTTTCTGCAAAGGTCATTATTATCAGCCATTGTTTATGTATAGGCCTTTATCACTAAAAACCAAAATAACTGCCATTAAAAGATTTTTCTTTCAAGAATGAATTAACATTTTCAAAAGGATAAGACAGACAATATAAAAATGTTGGTTATTGCAAGAATACTTTCTGCTCTCAGTCATAATCCCATGTGTTACCTCTGAAATCTTAAGAAGCTGACACATTTTCTTGTAAATTGTTCACATACAGAATTAAATGTGCTTTTCTTGGGGACTGTTTTCACTGTTGGATTAATGAACCTCTGTTGTGCTATCGAGTATTAACAGCTGCTGTGCAAACTGCTGGCATTGAGGTTGAGGAATATTGCCACCCTTATCTGTTAAGGAGCATTGCTTTAGCTCTCAAATGGCTAAGCAGCATTCATAAGAAGTGTTGCAAAACAATGCAAAATTAGCACCGTTTCAGGCTATGTCCCCGATATTTGACCTTTACACGCTACAACAAAACCACCTAGAAAAGGTTAATTAGACAGAAGGAAAGAGAAGGAGAAGGCAGAGAAAGAATAGAGGACACGAAAAGGCCGGGGTGGGACTTGAATGCTTGCTGGCCTTTGCAAATGTTTACAATCCCCTGTTGGCAGGCAGAGGACCACTTTCAGCCATCCACGAGGGGGCTGCCTTTGCCTTCTTCACTACAAAAATCACACACACACACATACACACACAAATAACAGAGAGAAGTTTAACAGAGGATAGTCCAATATGGGGGAGAAAATAAAATGCATATGGTTAAGACAACTTCACTGCGGCCGCCACAGCTTGGGAATGTTCAACTCCTAATCTGTAAATGTCTGTGAAGCAGAATTTGGTATACTGTGCTTTCAAAATATAGAGCAAATTATTATTTTAGGCAGAGACATACCGCTTGATATGCATTTACCCAAATAAAGTCCAGTTTATCAAAATAATTGCATTGTGGTGGTAAAACAGCAATGGGATGTGCGACAACAGTATACCAAAGATCTGACAATAGAAGTCTGCTTTAAGGACTTCTTAATGGGAGGGAATGGCATTACCAGTATCATTATCTTTAAAAAGCTCATTTAAAACATACCATTGTTCACATATTAGAAAGATTACAAATGTTTTACTCTTTTAAATGTTGACTTTACATGCCATTCAATCAACAAGGACCTCTCGTACGTGGAAATAATTAAATGACAAACCTTCGGCAAACGGGACCACAATCAACGCTCTGTCCACAAACACGGTGTTAGTCAGGTGTTGGGACACTCCAACAGACTCTGGCTCCACGAACTTCACAAAGCACACCCGCGATGTCACAGGCATCTGAGAGTCACTGTTGAGGAAGTCACAAATACATTAGACGAGTAAAGTTGCAAACAACATCTTTGTTGTCCTCTCCTTTGACAACAAAATGTCCTTTCCCATCAGGGTTTCTACAACTTTTGGTTCTCTGACTGGTCTCTAGTATTAGAATCTGGGACACGCATTATACTATGAAATTATGTTAAGATTACATGAAAAAAATACACTTTATAGGCAGGATTTTTGAAACAATAAGAACAACATTGTGATAATGAAATCTAGCTGAAACTTTACCAGCTTTGAGAACACTTGAATGCATCAATAATTATAATCAAAACATATAATAAATTATTCTGAAATAGGCCATTCTGCAGAATGAGTACTTTTACTTTTGTTACTTTGGTTATAGTATGAAGCCAATACTTGTCTTCTTCTACTTGAGTAACATTTTGATTGCAGGACTTTTACTTGTAACAGAGTATTCCTACACATTAAAACTTCTACTTTTACTATAGTACAATATCTGAGTTCCACCTCTGATTAAATCCACTAACACACTTTAATCTACTATTATGGACTGAGATATCTGGCAGTATAAAAAGTTATATATGTTTTCTCCTCCTTTAACAGCTGCAAAATTCAAATCATACATGAATGCATCACACATTATACTCCATTGATACAATATACATTATTGCTAAAATGGCCACTTTGAATAATGGGTACTTAGATTTGGTACTTAAGTATATTTTTGCAGCTACTTTTACTCATGTAACATTTTAGAATGCAGGACTTTTACTTGTAACAGTGTATTCCTACACTTTGGTATATCTATTTTTACTTTAGTATAAGATCAGAGTACTTGTTCCCCCTCTGAGTATGGCCAACCAAATCTCATTTTAAAAATGTCATCAAATGTCTTCATAATGGTAAAGAAAAGCGTTGGAGAACATGAGTGCTTTAACCAACAAGTCAATTAATGATGGATATAACTGTAGCATCAGTTGTTAGGTAGCTATAGCGTTTATTAGGTGTGCGGTTAGCATGTTAGGCCTAGTTACGTTTCAGGCTCACACAAAGCCAACTAGTTTAAAAACCATGCATCCTATCTGTGACTCCATCATAAATAAAGGAAAGCAGCAGACAGTGAACTCACTCTGGAGGAAACAGCTTCAGTTCTTCGATGGTTCCCAGGAAACCGAACAGTGTTCTCATCTGCTCCGATGTGGTGCTAGGCGACACATTGGTCACCTGGACCACCTTCGTAGTGTAATTCATTGTTTATCGATTGAAACCGTTCGAACAACAGCACTGCAGTTATCTAATGAACTTAAATCAAAGCCACGGTTAATCGCTGGTTGTTAAACAGCGTGTTTGTACGAATTTGCGGGCTAGGTGTTAGCTAGCAGTTACGTCTGCACACTAACATATCGGCGCCATATTGTATTTCCAGAACGCACTGCGCATGCGTATAGCTGAACTCCTTTGCTGTAAAAACAATGTTGATCTTTCATTAAAAACACCACTGGCCATGGTGTAAAGTAACTAAGTACATTTACTCAAGTGCTTTACTTAAGAACAATTTTGAGGTATTTGTACTTCACTTGAGTATTTTCATGTTATGGTACTTTATACTTTTACTTAAAAAAAAATCTCCACTACATTTATTTTACAAATTTAGTAACAAGCGACTTTGAAGGTATGGATTTATAATACAATTATCATCTAATTAATCATTACGTTTTATTATAGGACGGTTAAGCTTTCTAGCAGTATACGTGTAGAGTAATCTAAATAATCCCCACCTTTGCCAAGTGCAACATTTACATTGATGCATTAATAAGCCTAAGTATAATACTTTTTAAAATATGATATAGGCCATAGCCTACTGGAAAATAAGTACTTTTACTTTTTGTACTTGAAGGATATTTTGATGTCAATACTTGCATGACTTTTACTTGTAACAGAGTATTTGTACACTGTGGTATTGCTACTTAAAGGGGACCTATCATGCAAAATGCACTTTTGTACGTCTTTTATACATGAATATGTGTCCCCGGTGTGTCAGGGAACTCACCAAGTGTCAGAAAACACAACCCTCTCTCTTTTCCTCCATACCCAAATCTCTAAAAACGGGGCTGCAACGGAGCTGATTATTATTTGATTTTTTCTGACGTCAGAAAAGGGGTGCTCCGCCTATATGGGCAACTCTCCACCTATCAGGGGAATGAGAGACCACTCGAAAGCGCTGGAGACGCTGTAGTACATATGCCAGGCCTGTAAGTGGCGCTGTAGTCTGCCACAAAAGCAGAATCAGCCCTTGCAGGGCTGGAAAAGAGCAAATAGAGCGAAATGAGGCATGGCTAAAATGCATGATCTGTTTGGTATTTTGAGAAAAAAAACTTCACAGACATGTTTTATATAGGTATGGCCCTACAATATATGTTTCAAATATAGCATGATAGGTCCACTTTAAGTAACATATCTGAGTACTCCTTAAACCTCTGATGACTGGTTATAAAGTTTGTCAATTAACTACCCCTTACTGAACAATCTTATATCAGTCTTGCACACCAAGGCACGCCACAAATAAACTATGTAGTAAACAGTGTACAGTATGTGTACTATCTTGGAAATGTTTTGATCTTCACTCAACCAACAGAGGTCTCCCTTTCCTTTAACTGATGACATACACATAGGAACACTAAGTATTGTTGGGAAAATAAAGCATCTATGTTTTTGCTATAGTTACATTTTGTATTTATCATTTATTTTCTTAGAACCTCTGTAGGTACATATTGTGAATATTTTTACCAGACACAATGTCATCGATTCTCATTATTATATCTGTGTAGGATACATCTTTCTGTTTAAACATGAACTCAAATTTGTTATTTTTTGGGTAAATATTTGTTGTCGATTTATACATTTAAAACATAATACAAATAATAACCCTTCCTGATTAGAATATATTGCCCTATATAAAATATTTAACAAAAATAATTGTAACAATAAAAACAAAACCGACATAATAAAAAAAGTCAAAAATTAACTAATAAATGATTTAAGGTGAAAATGTATAGTAAAAAAGTAGAAATAGGGTTACACATTCCTCACATTTAAGCTAGTTTAAATCCTGTACTTTAGCCTCACACTTCTTAAAGTTAAATCTTGACCATGGAAATTGCAGATCAAATTATGAACTTTTTCTAGGGATTGCACTCAAGCACTAGAATTGCGAAAAGAAAATCTGCCTTTGGATTTTAAATCACATGCCTAAAGTTGTGAGCACAGAATATTTTAGATGAACCTTTTATTTGCTCACTAACTCTTTGTGGATCACACAGTTTTCAACAGAGGTTGATGTTTGTTATCTTTGTCTTTGTAATGAATCTGCTGATCTGAAACTGTCAAATCACAAAAATAACCTTATTGAATAGTGAGCAACCTTTATTCATTGATAAAGAACATGTGATGTAATTGAAAGATTCAGAAATTAACTATGGGGCAACATCACAACCCCGGCTTCTGGCAATCTGCTTCTGATGAAACTCTTTCTGCTAATGGTGTTTTTTCCCAGGAGGCACAATGCAGAGTTTGTCCTCATGCCACACTGGGCTTAATCCCTACATCTGGATTAAAGTTGCACTGAGACTGAGAGAAGCAAGTCATGGCATTTTGAGATCTGACCAAGGAACACAAAGTCCATATCGCATCCTAGCATTGTGTTTCCCATTTATATTGTACGAGGTGGCCTAATAATAGCTGTTGAGGTTTACTGTTATTGTTGTTTTACAATAAATCCTCTTCTAGAAACTTTAAATGAATCCAACATAAAGAGGTGGTACTTGGTTTTTGGCCAATTCACTCATGATCCGAATGTTACACGGTTCAATACACTTGTAAGTCGCTTTGGATAAAATCAGCTATAAATAAATGTAATGTGATAAATGTACTACACACATTCTTAATAACTGACTTTAACATCCATATTCACTTCTGTTTACTTCCTCCATGGTGTGTGTAGCCCTACCAAACAAGGCATCAAAAGCCTTATTTAAAATATACTTCAAATAGTATGACTCAGCATAGCTATATGTTAAAAGCACAACAATTGAAGAAAATAATCACATGCACAATTGCAACACATTTGAAATGTCTTTGCAATCAATATCTCTGTTATAAATCCGGTTTCAGAGGGGTGACCATTGAGCCACCCAGGATATTGGCACAAAGGGATTCTTGTTCACGGTGCAACATGATTGGCCAGTAGGAAGGTTTAGAGCGCAGATTTTCAGTGACTCTGAGGGGGACAAGACGAATAAATACCACAAATCTGCAGGGAGGCCAGAGTTGTAGAGAAGTGACCTTCATTCTGCTTTGTGTAGTGCCACAACAAGAGAGAGTCATGGTCAGCAGGTGAGTTTCTGAAGAAGTATTGCAACTTTAAATGTTATCTTGAATCCTATTATAATGTGTTTATCAGTTCAGCTATAAGTTGAAAAGTGCTATTACATGAGTGGCAAATGTTGATAATGTTAAATAAGCTATTCTATGTACAATTCCTTAAAAGAAAATGGTGACTTTAATGTCTGCATGTTGAACTGCATGACCTGTTAGAAATATGACTTTCTCACACATTGAATTTGATGGAAATGTCATTACTTTTAGTTTCTTTCTGCAATGTTGGTTGATGCCTTCACTGTTTGATGACAGATTTGAACACCCAGCTGGTGGCTACAAGAAGATTTTTGAGACATGCGAGGAGCTAGCTGAGCCTCTTCCAGCAACAGTCACAGGTTTGTTTGTATCTTCAATCTTTAAGACAGGAATAGACTGCGGGCAAGTTATTATTTGTCATTCATACACTGATGCACTTGTTGTTA